AAGTATTTTTTAAAAACTTTTTTTAACTATGAATATAAAGGATGATAACAATATTTTAAAATAATTAAATAATTTTATTTTTGTTTTGAAAAAAAATAAATTATTAATTATATTTTTTTTCTATCATTATCATGATATTATTAGGAATAAAATTGAAAAATTATTATATTTTTATATTAGTTTAACTGAATAATTAATATTTATTAGTATGTAGGATTTAATTAAAAATATTTTATATATAAAGATAAAAAAAAAGACTTTGGAGTGAGAGTCTGAGCCACGAGGGTATATACTATTACGGTGTCGTATTGGGTGGAGACATTCGATGACCACATAAGCCAAACTGGCTCAACTTCTTTTACGCTGCCATAACATGATTCAAAGGCTTATTTTCATGACAATATCTCTATGTAGAGTTTGTATCTACCCGCATTGCTTTAACCAGAAATTTTTTCATGAATTATTATCAGAATATTTGCCCAATCCTTAAATGCAAGACTTCTTCCTCGTGATTCGTTGGTCAATATCGCACTCGCCAATCACCCATTACGACGGCGGAGTCAACCCGGAGGTCAGGCCGGGTTCCATCCGAGAACTTAGGGCATGTTTGGATTAACTTCTAACCTTAGTTAGAAGGAACCAAACTAAAGTTAGGAACTAAAAAGTTCAAAAAATCTTGTTTGGATTAACAAAAATTTTCAACTTAAGTTATGTCTAAACGAGCGTTTTTTTAGAAGCCCATAGACCCGGCTTTTTTACCTCGAGCGTTAACGTTTGTCGCTGGAAGCAATTTGCCTTTCATATTTTTATGCTTTCTCTCTCCTCATTCATCTGGCACCAGCTTCGCTTTCTTCCTGTACGTCATCGTCCTCCTTACTAGCATCGTCTCCATCTTCCAATTCCTCAACCCCGTTGTCACCAACGACGGCCGCTGCGACACCATCCTCAACAAGCACCTTGCCGGCACTCTCCTCATCATCTGTGCCTTCAAATGTGTCTTCGCCAGTTTCACTGATAGCTACACCAGTAGCGATGGTGCCCTCCACTATAGCGTTATCATGATCAAAGGGATATGGCCATCTCCAGTGTCGGACGCCGTCGACTTGAAGGCGTACAGGTTGAGCTTTGGGGACTTCATGCATGCTTTGCATTTGCTGTGAGGGAAGGAGCAACCGAGAGTCGTGAGGCTGAAGGAGGGAGAAGATGAAGGTGACGTTGTGTGAGAGAGAAAAGAAGGTCACGATAGTGAGATCAGAGATGGCGAGGATGGTGAGTGAGGATTCATGGATGTGAGTGGGAAATGAGTTTTGGAATCAAATTTTTATTATTCTTTTATATATAAATATATAAAAAAATTTATGTTTATTTTAATAATTAAAAATTTCAACTGACTTTTACCTTAAATCATCCAAATAAATTTTAATTTATCCAACTGACTTTTAAAAAACGATATCCAAACATAAATCACGTTATATTTACTGACTTTTTTTTTAACCTCAGTTTGCTAACTTCAGTTGAATCATAACTTCAATTGTAAATTTTTTAATCCAAACACATACTTACTATTGTTACACTCTGTCATTGTGCACAGGGATACCTACTCGGGGCTCCGATTATCCTTGCGGGTCATTTGTACCTATCAGATCTTTCCAGTAACACAGCCCACTGTGCGATGTCTCTGGAATTCCTCACTGTCCATTCGCACTATTATAGATATCTCTGGAGCTTCCCATTGTTCACAATCATTTCAACTGTATCTAATTTCTCTGAATAAATACCGCGTCAATTTACCAGCGCCTTATTTCAAGCAAGCGTGCGGAAATTAATCGGCGATATCCTCGGCGACGGTGAGCTAAAGCGGAGCTTCTTCCATGGCGGAGACATCGGAAAAGCAAGTGATGGTGGTGGCAATCGACGAGAGCGAGCACAGCTCCTACGCTCTCAAATGGACTCTGGATCATTTCTTCAAGCCTGTACCCAATCCTCTGTTTAAGCTTGTTCTTGTTCATGCCAAACCTTATGCGACCTCCAAACTCGGCATCACTGGGCCCGGTAATGATTCTTTTGCCGTCGATTCTAATTTTCTTTTCATTGCTTCTTTCTGATTTTCTGAGAAAACTGTAAATGCAATATTGTTGCCAGGAATGGCTGAAGTTTTGCCCATTGTTGATTCGGATTTGAAAAGGACGGCCGCCAGAGTTGTTGAAAAAGCTAAAGAGATTTGCGGCAAGAAATCGGTAATTAATAATAATCACTTCAAAAATTCCTTCCTTTAAATGTATCTAACCAGCCATGAAAGCTCTGTGCTGATCTTATTACACACACACACACACACTCTTTTAAAAGCTCTGTGTTGATCTCATTTCGACCTTGCTGATCAGTCGTGTGATCACAATCGGTTCTTCATTTTTTTTTTTCCTAGTCACTGGACAATTTCATTGTGATTTTAAAGATTTTATTCATTCTATATGTGAATGATTTATATGTGTTTGTGAATGTATCAGCAGGTAACTGATGTAGAAGTGGCAGTAATAGAAGGTGACCCAAGAAATGTGATTTGCGAAGCCGTGGACAAACATCATGCTTCCATATTGGTTGTTGGAAGTCATGGTTATGGAGCTATAAAAAGGTTCACTTCCATTTCCTTTAATTTTAATTTGACACTAGCTAGAACTCAAGAATTAAGACTGATTATTGCTTCTTCTTCTTCTTCTTCTTCTTTCTTCTTTCAAATAATTGTTATTTATGATTATGCTATGCATACAAAATTTTTTTCTAAAAAAAATTATATTTTTCCTGCCATTTGGGTTTTAATGGAACCATGACCAGATTTTTCCTGCCATGTTTTTCCTTGAAAAACTGCTACAATAATGGCTATACTTAAAAGGCTGAATTATAATCAAGTCAAAACTATCATAATTGAGTTATAACAAGTTAAAGATTAAAAGTTAAATTACAAGTAAAATAAAATTATAGGATCGAATGATTAATTTTTTTTAAGTTTTCACTTTTATTTTTAATTTTTGGTAAAGTCTAGCTAGCAAAAGCTGCTTCTTGTGTTGGTGGTATTCTACTGGCATTTTATGTATTTTTATTTTATATTTTTGTTTAAAGATATTTTTGGCTATAATTGTTATGTAAACATCATGAAGGTTGAAAGACAGTTAACATGAAAATCATTTTGAGGCTGTGATTTTGCAGGGCGGTGTTAGGAAGTGTAAGTGACTATTGTGCTCATCACGCTCACTGTACTGTGATGATCGTTAAGAAGCCTAAAACCAAACACTGATAATCTTTTTTGGCCTGCCTTTAAATGCTTCTCATTTGTACATATAAAGTGACAATACTTTTCGCAAAAAACGAATCCAATGTAACGCATGTTAGAATGTTACATTCTAGTGGAGTATATTGTTGTGTTGTTAACTAAATAATTATTGTCTAAGCTTATTCTACTTTTTATTCAGCAACAACAACAACAACAACAATGATAATACTAATAATAATACGTTATCTTGAAATTTAATTGAATTAAGCTTGACGTTCTTCTACAAAAATTATATTTGCATCTCTTAAAATTTATATATGGTAATTATCCGTGTCAAGTTAAATTAACTAGAAGTCTCATTTCAGATGGTACATATAGGATTGATTGCCATGATATTATATAGTATGATACTATATACACAAAACCAAAAAGAAATTAAGAGCTTTTCCTATATGTCTATTTAATTGAATTAAATTCAAGCATTGTCAAATTTAATTGAAGGTAATTCTTTTAAAGGTATTTCCTGTATTTATACAAACTCGAACTTAAAATTTTATATTTAAGTTATTATAACCCATTTCATTAGGATAGATGCCTGTTGGTGAATCCAGATATTTTCAGCCATTAACTTGTAAGAACATGCTGGAAAAAAAAAAATATGATATTGTCATCAGAAAATATTCCATCCGAAACCAGAAGGGCAAATGTTGGATTACCTTGCGTGTGATGGGCTGGTGGAAAGTGGGTTGGGTTGGGCTGATTTTTTTTGTTGGGTCAAGACACTGTTTTGAACTCAGTCAATCAGGGGTGGGCTCCTAAGTGCTGACCTACTTAGCCCATCATAATTTTATTTTTTTAAAAAATTAATAGAAGTTCATCAAAATAAACTCTTACATTTAATCCAATTGTTCAAGATGTAGCATAATTAAATTTAAGGGAAAAAGCTTTCAAGAAAAAAATCCACATAAAATAATATACACACATACATATATATATATATATATATATATCACAAAAATTTAAAGTGCAATCCGTATATCCCATACATTCATGTATAATATAATAAGAAAGTATAACATTTATATGGTTACATGTATGGTATAATATCACTCGCTTCACATTTTGTGGGAAGCTAAGATTGAAACTAATAGCAAATACTTTAATATCATTAGTCTATATTCTCATAGAGTTTGAGATAAATTTCATAGGGTATATTTATTTCATAAATTATATACTATTGAATATATAACAAAAAAAAAGGATTGTAGGGGAAAAATATCTGTATTAGGATTTGTACCGATATTTTTAGTTTTTTGTGAGAATTATTTTGTATATATTTTTCTGTTAATTAATCTGAACTCGAGTATGTTAAATCTCTAATATTATTTAGGGAAAGACTTAATACCTACTATTATATATTCGATGTATTTTTATTTGAATTTAATCAAAACAGATATATTTTAAAGTGTTAAAAATATATTAATAACAAGAATTTGTTATAAAATAAATAATATATGAAAAAAAAATTAAACTTCATAATTTAATTCTCTATTATATTGATTCCATTTTTCAAGAATTTATGTTATTGACTTATTCTTGGCAAAAAGGAAAAGAAAATAAAAACCATTTGTGTAATTTATTTTAACAAATTTAAAATTCAGGGTTTGTGGGTCCTAATGATGAATTAGCCTGCGATGCTTGCATTGCAATCATCGTCCAAATAAACAAACGGCGATGAGCAACGGAGCGTAGACCCGGAAAGAAGGCCCGGATCCAAACCCATAAAAAATGAGGAATCATTCCCGTACGATGCTGAATCAGCGAATCCATCTTCCTACCAAGTTTTCAATTCGTCAAAACTACTTGGGACTTCAAAATTTGTAAGTAAACGTATGCCGAAACCAGTTTATTGATTTGAAACTCCACTCAATTTCGAAATTGGAGGAGGAGGAGGAGGAAGAAGGAAACCACTATGGCGGGACATACCCACAAGGGATCCTTACTGCAATTCGCACCTATGCAGAGCTTGGTCGATGAAGGCTTCTGGCACAGATTGTCTTCTTTAAAGCTCAACAAGCTTGGCATTGATGATTCTCCAATTCCAATTAAGGGTTCTTCGCTTTCCTTGCCCTCTTTACTTCTTAACCTTCTATGGAACTCAGACTACGTAGTTTCGGGTTTTTTTTAATTACTTACCGAGAAAGGACAAATTAAGGACACTGGACCAGTCTGATGACTGTGTTTTCCTTTTATATTTTCAATTCTAATTTCAAAGTCTAACCTTTTGTATTTTTTTTTTAAATTTTATCTATTCATGAGGTATCCAAACTAGTGTTGGATAAGGATTTATGCAATTTTTTCTTTTTCTTTTTTAAGGAAATACAGATTCTTTTTGTCAAGTTTTAAAGCTGCAATTTTCACTGTGGGAATAAAGTTTGCCAGCACAATGTAATTTTGATCTTATAGTGTTGTTGTCTCATTGCAGGATTCTACGCGCCTTGCTCACATTCTCAAATATCAAATCGCTTAACTCTTCTAGCTGAGTCCTTACCTTCCGAATCAAGTGAGTCATTATTGGCCCCAGATACTAGCAGTGGCAACAGGAATAGGTGCTCTGTTCCAGGCATACTTTACAATACTAATACTTGGGAAAGTTTCCATGCACTTGACAAACAAGGCCTCTTGAAGCAAGAAGCAAGAAAGGTAATTATTTATAAAGATATCTTTGAATGAGATGACTGAGGAATGAATAATTTCCTATGGGTTAGAGGTCTTGATAAAACGAATACCAAGCCTTTACATAACAATTTAAGCTTTTGAGATGAAATAGTTCTTGGCATGGCATCAAACACTTTTTAGACCAATTGGTCCATGTGTTTCAGCCTAAACGGCTTTTGCTTGAGTGGCTCCTGGATATTAATTAATTTGCATGGCGAACGTGTTAAATACATCAAAATCTTCCATCCAAAAAAAAAATCTTGAGCCCTTACATAGCAACTCAAGTTTATAGGATTTAGTGGTTCTTGACCTGATAAAATTAAATACTCACGTAAGCTTATTCTTTTTGGGGCAAAAAAAAGATCTGGGAGGACATTCAAACTGGAAAAGCTATGGAGGACTCTGCAGTACTGTCACGATTCCTTCTTATTTCTTTTGCTGACTTGAAAAAATGGATCTTCCACTACTGGTTTGCATTTCCTGCTCTTATGCTTGATCCTCCTGCAACTGTCAACTATCTAAAGCCAGCTTCTCAGTGGTTGAGCAAAGAAGAGGTGCTTTTGCTTTATATATTGTTAATCGCATATATGATTAGATGACTGCTCTTAAGTTACTATTGGACTTGTTTCATTATAAAATGACAGGTAGAATCCCTCTCTGCAGCTTGTAATGAGTGGCGTAACTCAAGGTCAACAGCAGGTACATAAGCTACCATCTGGCTGATTTGTTGTAAATATTTATAATTTGTTGCTTCCCTTAAGCTTTTGAAGATTTACCTAATTATAATAGTATGTGGCAGATGTTCCATTCTTTTTTATCACCATAGATCCAAACTCTTGTGCTACTGTCAAGCACCTAAAGGATTGGGAGACTTGCCAGAGTGATGCTTACAAGGTCTTAATTCTTAAATTACAATAATTTAGTATTGTCTTTATGGAATTACTTTGTTCTGGTGAAGCAATTTCTCTGGATGACAACTTATAGATGCATTTTGACTGAAAGTTACTTCGTTCTCTCCACAGACCCTCTTTGGTTTTTATGACCCATGTCATCTTCCAAATAACCCTGGCTGGCCTCTACGCAACTTCTTAGCACTTCTTTCTGCAAAGTGGAATCTTAAGAGAGTTCAGTTTTTCTGCTACAGAGAGAACCGTGGTTTTGCAGATATGGACTTGTCCCTTGTTGGTGAAGCATTGATTAAAGATTCCCAAGGTAGAGCTACTGAAATTATTTGACGGACTTGATCTCTAGCTGTTTATTTATTTATTTATTTTCAATTTAGTATGTTATCTTTCTAACTTAAGAGGAAAGTATGTATAGGGGTGAGTGATAGTCTGCCTAATGCAGTTGGATGGGAACTTAACAAAGGGAAAAAAATACCAAGACGTATTAGCCTCTCTCAATCTTTGGATCCAACCAGGTACCTCATTTTTATTGTTTTCTCTGTTCTTTGTTGTGTTCTTGTGTTACTTGTGTCATTTCTTCTACTTTTTTATTTTCATACTCGTATCTTTACAGGTTGGCAATATCTGCTGCAGATTTGAATTTAAAGCTTATGAGATGGCGTGCTTTGCCTTCATTAAACTTGAGTTCCTTATCTTCTCTCAAGTGTCTTCTTCTTGGAGCAGGTACACTTGGATGCCAGGTTGCTCGCATGCTTATGGTGAGTATAGTAACATTTTGGTTTTATTGTTTTCTCTTCTTCTCGAAGTGTTAAGCTTGTGAATGTTGTAGGCATGGGGTGTCAGAAAAATTACACTACTAGACAATGGGAGGGTGGCTATGTCTAACCCATTGAGGCAATCCCTGTATAATTTGGATGATTGTCTTAATGGTGGTGAATTCAAAGCTACAGCGGCTGTTAGAAGTCTTCAGCGGATCTTTCCAGCAGTGGTAATTGATTGGGCCCTGAAGCTTCCTTGATGCTTGACCCAAGCATTTTTTTTTTCCCCTCATACTGGCATGCTTTTTGGTTTTTCCAGGAAGCTGAAGGTGTTGTAATGGCAATACCAATGCCTGGGCATCCAGTACCTTCCCAAGAAGAGGATAGTGTACTTGAAGATTGTAGACGCCTGTCTGATTTGATCGGTGCACATGATGCAGTTTTCTTATTGACGGATACTAGGGAAAGTCGATGGCTTCCATCACTTCTCTGTGCTAATACTAACAAGGTTAGTCAATTTAATCTTTTAGATGATATGCATGTCATTGTCTTGCTCCGCATCTCTGTATCACATTTAATTAACATTTTGAGCTGAAGCATATATCTTTTCCTCCTTAGCTTGATTGTATATATTTAATTAGCATGCCTTACGTGGATACTGTTTATCTATTTGCAGATTGCAATTACTGCAGCTCTAGGGTTTGATAGTTTCTTGGTCATGCGCCATGGAGCTGGCCCTCTCAGCCAAGGCCCTGACCTAAGTACCGAAACTGCAAATTCTTTATGTGATGATGTGCATAAGCTTAATGTAAACAATGCAACAGGGAAGGGAAGATTGGGCTGTTATTTCTGCAATGATGTTGTTGCACCAACTGATGTAATTTTCCTGCATCATTATTATATATTTGAATACATACGCACATTTTATCAAGTTCTAAACATTATGGCCTTTCTGCAGTCAACCTCAAACCGCACTTTGGATCAGCAGTGCACGGTGACTCGTCCAGGGCTTGCTCCTATCGCTTCATCCCTTGCAGTTGAACTTTTAGTAGGGATTTTACATCACCCTCAAGGGTAATGCGGCAAACAGTAATTTTATTATTTCCCGTGCAAAGATTTTTAAGGAATTATGACAGAGATCCTTAGCAGAAACTTCCATCTGCTTTCCTTCATATATCTCCCTGAAACTCACGCCTTGGCTATATTTTGTCAGGATATATGCAGAAGGTGAAATTAACTCCAGTGTCAGTGGAACTACGGAGCAACCTCTTGGTATTTTACCACATCAGATTCGGGGTTCCCTTGCTCAATTTTCTCAAATGACTCTTGTTGGTTACTCATCCTCCAGTTGTACAGCTTGTTGCCAGACCGTAAGTTTGGTGGTGATTAGAACTCATGATAACACATTTGCAAATTTTTAGTGTGTGCCTCAAATATCATCATTGCCTCCCGCAATGCCCCTGGATGTGGTCAATTGAACTCCCGAGTAATATAGCTTGACTGTGTGCTTGAAAGAACTTCGTGATGCTACTACTCAGATGTCATCAAACTACTTTTACTTAAAATTTCCTTGGTCTACAATAATTTGAATGTTTAAACCTTAGACCTCCTTCTAACTGCTCACACCTCTCATCATTAGATCACACCTAGTGTCTTACTTCTGCTTAATATTTAATTATAGAAACTTTCTCAAATCCCTTCTAGATTTGATGGGTCAATGTGAGCAACATAGACAACCAAGTGCAAACATTATAAATTCTAAGATATCTTGGGTAAAAACAAAAACCAAAAATTGGGAAGATTGGTAATTTTAATGAAAATATGTTTGCTGCTATATATAATCCTTCCCTTCCAGCCAATTATTTGCATAAATGGATTGCTTATGTTGAAATTCTTGTGGCATGTGCTTGACAAATGTCGAGTTGCCTTCATTTGTTTTTTTTTTTTTTTTTTTTCAAGTGCTGATTTTATACCAAATGCTGCGGCATTGTTTATGGGATGTATATTTCAAGACTAGACTAGTTAACACTTAAACATTTTTTTAGGTTTCTTGTCTCTTGTTAGCATGAAGCATAGACAGTTCAAAAAATATCTATTTTGTATTTGACATGATAAAGGTTTTTTAAATTTTCATGCATATATTTGCCCATATTAGTGTCCATGCTTTCTAGCCTGATTGTTGTAAAATTACAACTGTACTTTAGAAAGCAATCTTATGGAAAGTAACACCAAAATAATGACTCTGGGGGTGTCTCATCCCATCTCTGTTATTTATTTTCTTTCCCCTAACCCTCTCCTGATGCCCTATATACATTCTCCAAAGATTTGATTTGCAGTGAGAATTATATCTGATGATATATTGTTCTGGATATGATTCCTCTGTAAGAATAGAAGAGTGATTAACTTTTTCATGATACATGCATGATCCACTGGGAATTTCCAGATTTCTTATCCTTTTTTTGGTTGGCGATATTACAACTGTTCAGGTTGTATCTGAATATCGGAACAGAGGAATGGAGTTCATACTTGAAGCAATTAATCATCCTACCTATCTAGAGGATCTCACTGGACTAACAGATTTGATGAAATCAGCTACCCTATTCTCATTGGACTGGGACAAAGAGATGGACGACGACGACGACGATGACTGTGTTGAAATTTAACAATCAGCTAGACTTCTGTACTGCTTTTGCTAACAAACATTGCCAATTTGCACGAAAAGCTAATTTAAATAACTCATCCTCATCTTACCAGCTGCATTGGCTACTGTACCTTTCAATTGTACAAAACTAATTTTCATGTAATTTAAATTATTTCATAATTTTCGCTAATGATGCAATTATATATATATATATATATATATATCCCATTTCGTTGCTGAAGAATTGTGCTCCGCCCAGTTCTGCATGGCATGCTTATACCGTGTAATTTTTGCCATCTTATTAACATTGACTTGCAGTTTGTTAATGTGAGACTTAAAAAATAGGGAAAATCACATTTAAGGATTATTTAAGCAAATTATTCACTGACAAAAACTAATAATAAGTCTCATTCAACAAAAAAAATTGCGTTTTCATTTTAACAATAATTTATTTCTAAAATTTCCTTGAGGAGGCATTTAAATGTGATTCTTCCTAAAAAAATTTAGGTTGGTTCTTTTATTTTTTTCCGGCCTAGGAGTGTTTATTTATTGAGTTTGATTTCATATCCAACAACACATAATCAGATCATTCTGATCGATTTTGCAAAAAGGAATACTTTGTCAGTTTCTTTGGTTTGATTCATGAAGTGATTTAATTATTTTTCTTACATCGTGTTTGACTGTGCACGCGTTCTTTAGTTCTTATCCAAATTTAAGACATTCAAAATTCAATCTCAGAAATATATTGGTAAAAAAGAATCCCCGGCACATTATATTATCATGGGCTTAACGTATAGCTCAATCATTGTAAAAAAATTTCTTCCCATTGGCTCATTTTTAGTTGAATTAAACTTAGTTAAATTGTATGCCAAACTCGGTTAAATTCCTCATGTATACCAAAAAATAACCTAGTTAAATTGCCAATCGGTCTGAGTAAACTGATTTTTAAGCTACAAACATTGGACCTAATTTTTTATAACAAAAAATTTTAGGTGAGTTGGGTCTTAATGATCTACCAACACCATGACATATTTTCAGATTCAAAAATACTTACAGATATACTTATAAGTTGCTCTCTAATATGATTGTTATATTGATAGTAGGATTTGAATCCAACAGTACCTTAAGATTTGGATTTAATGATTGTACTTAATACAGGCACTAAGTATTTATAAAATATAAACTGTTAAAATTTAAATCAATAATTATAAACTTATGCTTTACTTGAGATTAATGAATAAGTGAGTTTATCTAAACAGTTGATCTAAATTTCAATAACTCAGATGATACAAACACTCAATATTTATACTAAATACAGTCACTAAATTTAAATTCCAGTGCCTCATAGGTCATGAGTCAAATAACTACCAAACGGATTAGTCTTTATTAACATGTTTGACTTAATTTGTATTTGCAGTTTGACTTTGAATACTTTGTTTTTAAGGTATGATTTGGTTTCTAACATTCATGAGGATTTGAAAAGCTAAACGTATATTTGAAAACATTAGCCAAATCCATTTCGAACAACACTCTGATGAAAGCATTTTCACGCTACACTTTCATCCTATAATTTTTTTTTTCAAAAAACAACTTTTAACTTTTAAAAAATTGTCAAAAAAAAAACATTTTTTTCAAAAGTTAAAAGCTAGTTTTCCAAATAAAGGATTCACGCTGCTATGCACTAGAGTTCTAGAAACCTATTTGCTTGTCAATAATTAACACACCCACATACACACAGAGCTCGATCATATCAAGGTATTGCAAATTTAAAGTATTGAAAATTAAATTAGTTATTGAATTAGTTAAAATAAATCAAGGATCAGGGGTCAACCAAGTTTAAATGGGGTCCTAAAAAATAATATACTTTAAATAAAAAACATTAATCCTAAAAATATTATTCCTTTATAATAATAATAAATAATATAATATAGATATTTCTTAGTCTAATCAAGGCACAAGGTTCAACTTCAAGCCAAAAAAAAAAAAAAAAGGATTCAAGTAAACAATACCAAAGCAGGTAAAAGATTAATTTGTATTACAGGCAACCTATCAACATTTACTCTTTCAGTTTTCCTCCTTTTACCTAATAAGTAACCACTCTCTCCCCAATATTTTTGACTTGCTCCTTTTACCCGAGAACTATCCACTCTCCCTCCCTTTCTTTTTCTTTTTCTTCATCATTCACTCTTATTTAACTAAATAATTTAAGTTATTTTGATGAAATATATTATCATTAAGTATATTTAATATAAAAAATATAATATGATGTCAAAGTCATTCGGTCAGGGACAAAAAACAAAAAAATAGAGAAAAAATAAAAAAAATGAAAGAATAAAAGACAAAAAAAACAATAAGAGATTAAAAAAATAGAGAGAAGGAAAAAAAAAAGAAAAAATTAAATATACTTGAGGCCTCTGAAACTAAAAAATATACAAGCCCATGCAAGAAAAAGGAAAAAAAAAAGAAAAAAATAGAGAGAATATTAAAACATAAAAAGAAATCTCACATTTAAAGATTAAAAGTTAGACTGTAAATATATAAGTTTAAAAAGTATCTAATTAAATGGTTTAAACTATTTTGGTGAAATATATTATCTTTAAGTATATATACTTAATATAACAAATATAATACGGTCTTCCATCCCTCGCGCCTCATTCTCTGTTCTTTCTTTAGACGCCACTTCCCCTCTTCCCTCCTCCATCTTCAAACCTTTACTTCAGATGCACTCACTGGTAAGGGAGAACACCGAGAATGGATGAGAACTCTTAAAAAGTGAGAATCCACTGGTAAGGGATGATGATGAGAGGAGATGACGTCGAGACTCGAGAGCTTTGAAACAATGATAAATGAAATTGATGAAGCAAATCGCAGAGGAAGAGAAGCCATTTAGGGTTTCTGTCTAAATTTTTTAACTTTTTTTATTTCTTAACCTAAAAAAATACAACCCGCCTAACTCAGGGGACGAGTTAATTTGAGTAAGTCTCAAGTTACCAAGGCTAAATCGAGTTAATGTGTGCCACGTCAAAATGTAAAACTGGACAAGACACATGGCTGGGTCATTAATTCACCAGTCTGATCTAATTTTAAAAAAATATAAAAAAACAAAACAAAACAAAAGCACCTGCACCCATGCACACACAGGGAGTTGGGCCTTTGTCATGCACACAATAGAGGCACAATAGGGGCACCAGCTCCAAATCCCTTTAGAACAAGCATGCATGCACATACCAACAAAGTTTAGCCTTGTTATAAAGAAAAAATTAGTTTAGTTGATAAAGACTTTACTCACAATTCAAGAGATAATGGATTCAAATTTGCTACCGATGTGAGGATCATATTGGTTGGTCATCTATACTTACTTTTGTAAGTACTCTATATTTGGAGGCATGCTCAATTCCTAATAAGCCCTCAGAAACTGATTCACTTACATTTTTTATTACAGAAAAAAAGAGACGCACACATACATACAAATAAAATAGGTTAGGTCAATCAATTTAAATTGGTATGAGAAGTAGAGGCTTTCATTATTCAAGTAAGTAGTTCGACTGGAGGTTCAAATTCCAGCACTTTTATACGTAACAATTTAGTTAAAAAGATTCATTTTGTGTTACGTTAATTGAGTACAATAATAGTTTTTTTCCTTTTAACCTGAATAAGGATAATCATTAATCGAAGAAGCAAAGCCAAGCCACGAGCCAGTGGCAAACGCATACAAAAGCAAGAAGAGATAAACTAATAAACAAAGCCTATTTCCTCGCAATCCTGGCCCATTGAAACATCAGATTGCTGGGTTGTTGAAACTTAAAGTTAACTTATAGTCAAATAATTATATTAAAAAATAGGTTGGGCCCTCTTGTGAGACAGTGAGAGATTCTCTTATTTTCAAGTAATAATTAATGAGCATTTTAAAGTTTTAAATTATTTTACAAACAACATTATAAGCTCTAAACTTTTAAAATGCATAAAAGTTTTTATTAACTTTTAAATTTTGAGTACCTGAAACCTCATCATTAAGTTAGAAAAAATAATAATTACTTTTATAGTTATGAGGTTTAGTCACAAGCTGATTAACATTCATCTTAACTCTTAAAAATAAAGGTCATTTTTCAACTTAATGATAAGATTTTAGGTGCTTGAAATTTATAAGTTTAAGAAAATTTTTGTACATTTTAAGAGTTTAAAATTTAAAATACTATTCATGTAATAATTTAAAATTTAAGATGTTCATTAACTTAAAAATAGTTTATAAATAAGATTTGGAGGAATAATAGGTAAAGAAAATTATTCAGTTATAATGGAAAATACAATCAATTCAACAAATGAATAATGAGTAATAGATAAAGTTCAAAAAGTGGTAACGTGCGTTTGAAGAAAGTATAAAGGAATCGGGAATCATCTCAAGAAGTGCGTCTTGATCGCACGAAAGAACAGCCACAAATCGGTGCAATAAAAGCATGTAACACTAACCACCAAGCCCTTGCTTAGGATTTTTTTTTTTTTTTTGCCAGAAAAGGATTCTTCATTTAAGGAAAAAAAAAATCGCCAACAAAGGCCAAGGCCATAAAATCCAGACAAAATTACACAATATTAAATAGAGAGAATGGCAATGGGGGCTACCAAAGAGGAAAAAAAAATAAAGCAATAATAGCTCTAGACAATTAAAAGTTTATTTATATATAATTAAAGATTTATCGATTGATTTGTACATAAATAAATTTTTATTTGTTCAAAACTCTCATTTCTTTTTTTTCTTCTCTTGAAACCCTCACCACCATTCTCTCTATTAAATATTGGTGGTCGAGCTTTGTCATTTCTTAAAATATTATTCAGTTTAATTCAAATTAGTCTAATCTTCTAATAAATCTTTCAGTTAAAGTGAAGAAGTAGATTTAAGATATACATTAGATAGATCCCCCCACACACACGTGCACTTTTTTTTTAACAATTTGTATTCCATGATTATATAAGAATGATGAAACTTTTTATATATTAAATTTGTTTTAATTATCGTTCTAATTCTTAAATTTTAATATTTATCGATTAAGTCTCTAAATTTTTATAACTCTAGTGATGTTGTTGCACCTTTAAATCAAAAGAACTGATGGTGTAAGATTTTTGAAATTTTAGAAACTTGATTGATAAAGATTAAATTTTAAGTACTAAATTGATAACAGAAACAAATTTGAAAGATTAAAAA